AGTATAAATCGAGAGTGCGTGCTGCCGATGCACAACGGGGAAAAGCGAGAGAGGGCAGCTGCCGGGACGGTCTGCGGGCATTCTTTTCCAATTCAGAGGAGCGCGTGTGTCGTTCCTTTACGGGGCAGATGCTTATTCCGTATTTTCGAGGTCCAGTACACGAGCCACCAGAAAGCGCGATCCTTTGAAAATCGGCCGTAAAAGCGGGAGTGTTGAGTTTGCCAGCCTCTTGTATAAGAACATTTTTACAAAATATCTTCAAGTACATATCACGGATCTTCTGGACAATCGTAAAACGTCGTATGCTCAGTGTATTGCTGTTCCCTGCTCTTTAACGTTTAAGTTAACTTAAAAGTCCGGAACGTCTATTGTCTGTATTCTCGATGTGCGCTCGAATTTATTTTCAAATAAATTATTTTGGAAAAACTAATCATTGTATTTTAGATTACTCGGATTAATTGAGCGAATACAAGTGCCTAGCAATTTTATATTAAAATATCCTGTCATTATACTTCATCAAGGCAATGACATTTTCTAATTGACTAGCTTCATTTATACGATAAGGATTGATTTGTTGCAAAAATGATTCGAGATTTTTTTCGGTTTTAATATCATGATTTTAAATAGTATTTACCATTCAAATAAAAAAATTGAGCAAAGATTAATCTCACCCAAAGATTCGAAAAATATATAGTGAAATCGTAATATGATGCAGTAAATTCAAAATAACAGTTATCATTAATTCTAAAATTGGTGTTAAAATAGATAGTCTATCAGTTTTTATTAAAGTAACTCCTTTCTCGAAAAATAAACAACAATTTTTTACCATTGGATTGGGTAAAGTTTCGTTAATAATACATATTAACAAAATTTTTTAATAATATTAACAATAAACTGCACTGTCATTTCCCGTCAAAATTAATAATACAAAAAAGAAAAAAAGAAATGATATTTACATTGCACATTATAATCGTATTCTATAAATTATTATCTAATTACGAATTCTAGTCAAAATACGTTTTAACTTGACCAAAGTGAAGGTAAAAACTATACATTAATAATGAAGAATTATCAACTAATTAAGATAAGAGTATTAGATTTCAACACCTTTTGATATGGAGAAAAATTCATTCAAAAATAACGCCAACAATTCCATGTGTTAACGGATGTATTGGATTATTCATGTGCGACTGAACATGAAACTCAAACTTAGAATACTTTCAATAACAGTATGGAAGTGAAACAATCGCTCGATATTATTATAGAAATACTAAACCTATCTTAAATAATATGTTATTTAAATATGATTTTATTTAAAATTAATTATATAGTTTTTTTTTATGATTATATAATGATTTTTTGCTTTTAGCAAACAAAAGCTTTACACGATATCTTTATACCCTTTTCATATTAATATTCCATAAATAATTGATATTATTTATTACCTATGCTTTTCCAATGTATGGGTAATCGATGCCATATAATATAATATATTAATTAATCATTATAAATAACAACGACGACGACGACAACAACAACAACAACAATAACAAATACATAATAATAGTAAAAAATAATCCCGTCAAGCGTGTTTAATTATTTCAATTATTCTGCTTGCCATTCTTGAATAAGATTATTTAAATTACAGAGAAATTAAGTATAAATAAAAATAATTTTAATATTTATTTTATCGTTGAAAAACTTGATTCAATTTCAATTTTTTCGTATTAACAAATGGATCCTGATGTTTCGCCTTTGTCTGGAACAAGATCCACCTTCATTAGCACTGAACTCTTCAAGTTTTTGTAAAAGTGCCATCGTTCCACCATACAAGCGAAAAATATGTACTTCTAAGTTGAGACGTACAAAAGTTATCTTAAATAAGAACTTGGGGGTCTAGAAAATTTCTTCGTTTATCATCGACTGCGAATCCAACATTACGTGCAATAAAATTTTTTATTTTATATAACTTTTAAATAGAAATTTGATAATGGAATTTTCGCTATGTATTGTAATTGTTTTATTTATTGTTCAATCTTATTACTAATACTTAGGTTGCAAAAAGTATATGTAATATACTTTGAATTATTTGCAATTATTTTTTTTTAATATAGTTTTTAATACGTATTTTTATTATGTAAACAAATTTTGTCTCGAAAAATCGTCATTCCGTGATTATTGTAGTAGAGTGCGCTCGAAGAATCACATTGACGACAATGTACGGAAATCACTTTTAAGGCTCCTTAGATATGAACTATAAGAAGGGGATGGGCATTGCTCAGGGAAGGGACAAAGCCCCAAGAATAAATGAATAAAATTTACCTACATTAGTACGAGAAAAGTAAGTGAAAGGGAGCTGAAATTTTTCGCAACAAAGTAAAAATCAATCACAGGTCAATAAGATAATGTAAATCAATCTGAAGCAGCAAATGGCCCATAAAAACATCAGTGCGAACTTGAGTGGCGAGCGGGGCGGAATAGAACGACAAATCATTCGAAACTC